ATTAGTCTTTTTCCATGTTGTTCCTGTTGTTTTTGTTGCTAAGTGACCTTGAGTTGCTTCTGACCCATAGCAACCCTATATAAAACAGAACAAAACACCATTCACTCCTGAGCCATCCTGACAATTGCATGTTTGTTAGGTGGAAGGTCAGAGAAAAAAAGGAAGACCCCCAGCAAGATGGATTGGCAAAGTGGAAGCATCAATGGGCTCAAGTGTGGGCAGTGTTTTATTCCATTGTACTTAGGGTCACTATGAGTCAGTACTGACTCGATGGCACTTAACAGCAACAACAATCTTTACCATTTGGTTAAAATTTTTAAAGCTTCAGTTTTAAAAATTATATTTCTTTAATTATCAATAATTATGTTTTCATATGATTACTGGAGCTTTGTAACTACTATCCTGGTGTGGCACAGTGGGTTAATGCACTGGACTTCAATGTTGGTTTGAACCACAAGGTCAGCAGTTCAAGCTCACCAGGCACTCCTCAGAAACCCTATACAGGGTCGCTATGGTTCAGAACCCACTCAACAGAACTTACGACAAGGACAAATCTGCTCCTAATTTCATTCATTTCCTATCTGACAAAATGTTTTAACATGATCAACAAAATTAACAATCTCAATGCCTTTCAAAAAGAAAGATGTCAATATAACTTTAAAGCATGGATACAATGGTAAACAGCAAAAGAGATTTTCCTATTTCCTAAATTACATTCAAAACATATGTTTACAGGTCTCATAAAATTACCTTAGATTATTTTAACACTATCCACAGACACATTGAATATCTCATTCTTGGAATAAAATCTTTAATCAATTTTAAACTCATAACCTGTTCAAGGAAATGTAGTTCAAGCTTTCCCTCAGTAAAAGGTAAGCAATTAAATCTTCTATGATATTACCAAAGATTTATTATCTTTATTAATTTTGGTTTAATGTTATCACCATAATTAAGAAACAATGATTTCTGAGCATAACTAATCTTTTCCTCATTATATCATGAAAAGCAATAAAACAAATTCTCCTTTAGTCACAAAAGCTCTTATTTTACATAAACTTATAACATTGTTTTTACGATATTACAATATATGTGTGTGTGTGCATTTCTTTTTAGTGTTAATCAAAATAAATTGGTCATTTATACTAAAAATTCCTTGAAGGTATTAACCCTGGCAACTTCTGTACACAGTAAATATATTTAGATGAATAGTAAATGAATTATTTGGGACTACTACTTTGTTGTTGTATGTGCTGTGGAATCGGTTCAGACTCCCAGCGACTCTGCACAGGGTTTCTGAGGCTGTAAATCTTTAAGGGAGCAGAAAGCCTCATCTTTCTCCGGCGGAACAGCTGGTAGTTTCGAACTGCTGACCTTGTGGCTCACAGCCCTATTCGTAACCACTACACTACCAGAGCTCCTTGAGACTACTATAGTCACAACAAAAACAGAGGCGTAATTTTGATATATTCATTCCTTCACCAAGCAGCACAGGGATTGAAAAACAGAGACACACTGCCATCCATTTTGTGCCATGCATCTAACTCTATTTTTTGGAACAGGATTTGTCATCTTGGCTCCACTGACATTTGTTTTTGCTGTTGTTGTTAAGTGTGATATAGTTGATTGTGACTCATGCAGTTGTTGTTGTTAGGTGCCATTAAATAGGTACCGACTCATAACAACCTTATGCACAACACAAAGAATCACCGCTCAGTGCTGGGACAACCTCACAATCATTACTATGCTTGAGCCCATTGATGCTGCCATTCTGCCAATCTATCTTGCTAGGGGCCTTCCCATTTTTCTCTGACTCTTTATCTTACCAAACATGATGTCCTTCTCCAGTGACTGGTCCCTCCTGACAATATGTCCGATGTATGAGAGACTAAGTTTGGTCATCCTGGCTTGTGAGAGCACTCTGGCTGTACTTCATCCATCATAGATCTATTTGTTCTTTTGGCAGTCCGTGGTACCTTCAATATTATCCTCCAACACCAAGACTCTAATGCATTAACTCTTTCTTCTACAGTATTCCTTAGTCACTGTCCAACTTTCACATGCATATGAAGTTACTGAAATTACCATGGCTTTAGTCAAGCGTACCTAAGTCTTCAAACTGACATTTTTGCTCTTCAACACTTTAAAAATTTCTTGTGCAGCAGATTTGCCTAATGCAATACGCTGTTTGATTTCTTGACCGCTGCTTCCACTAGTGTTGATGGTTGAGCCGAGCAAAATGAAGTCTTTGACAACTTCAATCTTTTCTCCATTGATAAGAATGTTGTTTATTGATTGGCCCAGTGGTGAGGATTTTTGTTTTCTTTACATTGAGACGCAACCCATACCAAATGCTGTGGTCTTTGATTTTCATCAGTATTTTAAGTCCTCTTCAATTTCAACAAGCAAGGTTGTATCATCTGCATATGGCAGGTTGTTAATGAGTCTTCCTCCAATCCTGATGCCATGTTTTTCTTCATAGAACCCAGCTTCTCGGATTATTTGCTCAGCCTACAGATTGAATAAGTATGGTGAAAGAATACAACCCTATTGCATACCTTTCCTAATTTGAAACCTTTAGGTGTTCCCTTATTCTGTTCAAACAATTGCCTCTTGTTCTATGTACAGGTTCCTAATGAGCACAATCAAGTGTTCCAGAATATTAATATTTTGCATGTTATACACAGCTTGTCATGATCCATACAATCCAAAGTCTTTGTGTAGTCAATAAAGCACATGTAAACATCTTTCTGGTATTCTCTGCTTTCACCCAAGATTCATCAGACATCAGCAGTGATATCCCTCATTCCACATCCTCTTCTGAATCTGGCTTGAACCTCTGGAAGTTCTCTGTCAATGTACACTTGCAACCGTTTCTGTATTGCCTTTAGTAAAACTTTGTTTGTATGGGGTATCAATGATATTGTCCAATGATTTACACATTCCATTGGGTCCCCTCTCTTTGGATGGGCAGAAATACAAATATTTTCCAGTCAGCTGGCCAGGTTGTGGTCTTCAAAATTTCTTGGCATAGATGAGTGAGTGCCTCCAGTGCTGCATCAGTTGCTGGTGTCTTGTTCTTTGTCAATGCCTTCAGTGCACCTTGGACTTCTTCCTTCAGTATTACTGGCTCTTGACCATATGCTACCTCTTTTCCTTTTCATACAGTGACTCTGAGTATTCCTTTCATCTTCTTTTAATGCTTTCTGCATCATTCAATAATTTGCCCATGGAATCCCTCAATAACACAAGTCAGGGTTTGAATTTTTTATTCAGTTCCCTCGGCTTGAGAAATACTGAATATGTTCTTCCCTTTGGTTTTTAAGTCTCAGTCTTTATTTTATCCTATAGCGCCACACCTGGCCTCTTACTGACATTTGTTGTTGTTATTTTTAAGTGCCACTGAGTCAGTTCTGACACATAGTGATCTTGTATAGGGTTTCCAAGGAGCAGCTAGTGGGTTTGAAATCCCTACACTGAAGTTAGCAGTACAGACTATCCTTTTGTGACACACCAGGACTAGATTAACTCTTTGCTCTGGGAGGCTTCCCTGTTCCTTGGTGATGGTTAGCAACATCCTTGGCCTCTGCTCACCTTATACCTGACAACCAAAAGTCTTTCCAGACATTATCAAATGTCCCCCAAAGGAAAAAGATCATCCCAGGTGAGAACCACGGGCTTAGTAATAGTTGACTTTATAATAGTATGTCAAAAATCAATGGTCAAAGTAAAAAACCTGTGGAGAATTTTTCAAACTTTGGGAACAGCTTCAAGAATCCTAATATGGTTGCTATGAAAACTCTCTATCTAATGCAGGGTGCTCCCATGCCTGCATTTCTCTCATCAGCAGTCAGTCCACAATAATTATGCCTTAATCTTGTACAGATGATTTGACAAGCATTTATTAGTTACTTCAATCCCATCTGGTCAGTTTCAAAGAAATCAAACCTCTTCCCAAGAGCTAGTCCCAGGATACTACTACCACTAAGTTAATTATCTGCAACACTACAATGTTACTGAACAATAGAAAGGAGGTTTAATTACATGTGAACGAATTAATTGAACTTTTTGACTGAGTCATTTGATGTTAAATTTTAATAGGTGCGATGATTAGCATGTCCAAGATTGAAGAGAAAATGGATGCGTAATCATTTCTAGCTGCTGTACTCACAGATAAGGAAATACAATGTTTATTCATAAGTATAAGTTTCTTTGTGTTTCTCCTGAAAAAAATCCTGATGGTTAAATAATTAAATGTAGAATACCTTAATTATGCTTTCCAAATTAAAAAATGTACTATTAATTGATGTTAATGCTTAAAAAGCATTAAAAAACACATTAAAATTTCTCAAACTATTTTGAGAAATTGCATGAGACAGTAATAAAGTAATTGACTTAATAGATAATAGAAAACATCCCATTCTACATAGAAAATAACTCAATGAAAAGTCAAATTTTGGTACTAAATGCTTAGGATATGTATGAGTTCCTAAAGTTCAAAAAATTTATTTCCAAAATGGTTCTGCCAGTTAATTCTGAGGATCAAATATAATAAAAAAATAAAAATAACTTTTAAAAAGAATAAGAAGCATTATTCCAATGTTGTTGTTTTTAAGAGTCATCAAGTCAGTTCTGACTCATAGCGACCCTGCACAAGGTTTTGAGGATTTTTTCATTATTTGCTGAAGAAGAAAGCCTCATTTTTCTCCTATTGGTGGGTTTGAACTATCAACTCTGTGTTTATCATAGTCCAGTGCTTATCATAATGAATTGGACAAATAAATGCAATTAACATTACCTTATGAGAATTATCAATATTAGCTAAGGCAATGAAAGAGTAGTATTTCATTGATTTCACTTTGACTAAACAAAGACAGCTCAATTTTAATTTACTTTATGCACTTGAAAAAAAATGAAATTTTAAATTGATAAATTATAATACAGCAATACAACAATAATGACACTAAAACTGAAACTGTTCAGATTTTCTGAATACTTACATTACTTGCAAACTTTCTGCTGTTAAATTATTCCACATGATCTCATCTGCCTGGAGAACTTCATTTTCTTCTAATAAGGAAGTATCAAACTCAATATCTTGTTCTTTAGCAGCCGTTGTTCTAGTAAAGCATAATTTTAATAAATATGACTACATTATCATAAAATTTGCTTGGTACACATCAAACTCCAGCTTTCAAAGATCTACTCAGGTAACCTGAATCTTACTTTTCTCATTTGTAGAAACCAGATATTAACCATTTCATTTTTGTCACAATTGTAATGATTTTGAAGTAAGATGATTCATGTATGGAAAAGCTATTGGTATAGAATAAAAATGAAAGCACATATAAAGTAATGGTATTATTACTATATAAATGCTAAAAATAAAATAACTTTTTAGACTGATTACAAATTTATGGCTGATTATAGATTTACAATGATACAGTAACTAAAAAATTTTGTCATTAAATGAATTAAATAATTATCAACAATGAGAAAGGACTTAGAAAATAGTTAAAAGCAGATAATCTAAAATATTTCAATTTGATTAAATATTATAACATAGGAAAATATAATACTGATGCTGCTATTAAGTGCCACAGAGTTGGTTTGAATCATAGTGACCCTGTGCTGGGTTTCCATGGCTTTAAATCTTTTGCAGCACCAGAAAGCCTCATCATTCTCCTGTGGAGCACCTGGTGGACTCAAACAATATTTTAAAGATAATATTATTAAATATTGAAAAAAATAAGTAAAATATCATACCTGTGAACATCTATGAAATTATTATATTCTGTGCTAGGATCTATCTGTTCAACAGATAATTGAATCTCTTTATGGACATTCACTATTTCCTCTGTAACGAGACTGGTTATCTGGCTGTATTCATCAAATATACCTTTTCTGGAAAACAATAAATAAGTAAACTTTTATAACATTTATACTTTTGTCTAGGGAATCATAAGCCTAAAAGTAATTAGATAAATAAGCATATTATAACACTGATATTTACAGCTGTCATTTCAAACATCACCTTATTTTATGCACATAGATGTTGAACATGAGGAGATCATACAAATGTACAAATTAACAACTGACATTTGTATAATAGTTGCAAATGATCAAGAAAAAAATATTACTTTTTCCAACATGTATTGGATATGCCTAAAACGTAAGGTCACTTTCCATTTTGAAACATTCTCGTAGTAATTTTAGATTCCATACAATACAACTCTTGACCAATCCCTATCTCTTTAATTTTTACTTCCTCACGCACTCTACCCTTTTGAGTCTTCTCTTCCACCTAGGCCATTGCTCTCATCTGTTTGTTAGCATTTAGAGTTCACCTGATTCTGTGCCATCACAAACATATAAATACCTGTTCTTAACCTGGAGTCAGTAGCAAAAATGACACTGAAATTATTACCCTGATATAACAAATGAAAAAGGAAATACTATTTTGTTGCCAGGACCAGATTCCAAGCTAAGAAAGCTATCATGTCACTAAGCATTAGTGGCTTTCACACCAAGTGTGAACAAGCTTGTATTGCCCAAATACAAGCCCAAATAAATATTAGGCAAAGTTTGTTTTTCATTGCTGGAACCTTAAAAAATCTCCCATAATATGAATTATTTAATTTTAAACATCAAAATACTATTTTGGGAAAAATGAATAATAGATTTCAAGTATTACAGAAAATGACAGTTTAGAATGCTTACAGAAATCACCTGAAAGGCACATTTTAAAGAAAAGAGGAGCCAGACCAATTTAATGCCGTTTTACTAAATATCCCAAGTGTTATACTTGAAAGTAATAAATGTTATCATTGTAAATCAGCCTTTTAAAGATAGTATCTTCAAAGAAACATATCAACTGGTTATGGACAAGAGGATCATTAACGTATACCTCTAAGACAAATGGAAGCCATGGGGAGTGAAGGGCAAACAAGTCTTCTAATATCCTGTGAGTGAGTACTTGTGGCATGGAATTAAATTTCTATGATACTTCCTATTTGGATTTTTTTAAATGCCAGATCTTAAGCAACTAATTAGAAAGTAAAGAAAATATGCTCTGGGAAATTATCACATATTTTTAAAGAGGTTCTGGTGATGAAGGAAACATTATTAGAACTGAATGTTACTTAAGATTCACATAAATTAAGATTGAGAAAAAACTGATTCATCAAATGAGAGTAGAAAAGGAAATACTTGTATATCAATGTAAAATTTATGTTGTTGTTAAGTGCTGACGAATGGGTTCCAACTCACAGCAATCCAGTATAGAGTTTGCAAGGAGGGACTGGTGAGTTTGAAATGGACACCGTGTGGTTCAAACCAATCTTGCAGTTCAGTGCTTTATTGCACAATGCCACACCAAGACTCCTATGTAATTTATATACTCTATAATTTATAGTAAAGATAAGTAACTTAATTTATAAACTAAATATTTTAAGGTGAAATCTCTATTTTACCTGTTGTTATTCTAACTCATAGTGACCCTGTATAGGGTTTCTGAGAGGTGGCTGTTGATTTTGAACCAATAACCTTGAGATCCAGAGCTTATACTATGATGTCAAACCCTTTAAAATTTACATATTGAAGTATATAAAAGCTCCTTGACTCAATCTTCATATTGGGGAAAAGGGTTATCACCTAAAATTTAGTCTTATCTATACAGCTGGACAATAAATAAAGAAGATCATAAAAGAACTGTAGCAACCGAGCTATGGTTTTGGCAGAGAATATTGAAAGTACCATGGAATGTCAAAAGAACAAATAGATTTGTTATGGATAAAATTTAGCCAGAGGGCTCCTTGTAAACCAGGATGGGCGAACTTCGTCTCTCATACTTTTGACATATTATCAGAAGGCAGCAGTCACAGGAGAAGGATGTAATGTTTGGTAAAGTGGAGGGTCAGAGAAAAAGAGGAAGTCCCCAACTAGATGGATTGGCACAGTGGCAGCAGCAATGGGCTCAGGCATATCAAGGATTGTGAGGTTGGCAAAGGACTTTCTGCTTCCTTCTGTTGTGCACTGGGTCCCTATGAGTCCGTACCAACTTGATGGCAGCCAACAACAACAATAATACATAAGCATGGGCTCCTGTTCTGGTGATACAGGATCAGCACTGGACTGTGAACCACCAGGTTAATCGTTAAAACCCACCAGCTGCTCCTTGGAAACACTAAACAGGGTCACTGTGAATGGAACTGAGTTGACAGCAGTTAACAACATAAATAAACATAAGCATAGCTGTCAGGTGGGTCGTGGCTGAAAAGTAGGGAACACCAAAAAGATGTTTACTAATGCATTATTAACATTGCAAGAGTGGGTCAAAGACAATGTGGTTCATAACAATCTACACTGCAAAGAATGAGTGTTCCAGAAAACTAAACTATGTTTCTGAGGAACTGGTACATAGACTAAGAGGCAGTTCTTAGAACAGAACAAGAAGATACTTAGTATCACAAAGTTAGGAAAGATATGCTGGAAGCAAAGAAAACTTGAAATACTAATTGATGAAGATCAAAGACCACAGCCTACAGGATGGATTGCACCTCAATTTAAAGAAAATAAAAATCCTCACCACTGGACCAATAAGAAGAGCTACCTCCTCAAAGTAGAGTTGACCATGATGAGTTGAATGAAATAAACCCCATGAGAATAAAGCCCATGGACCTTCATTTGCTGATGGGGCACAACTCAAAATGAAGAGAAACCGCTGTAAAACTCCATTAATAAATGGAACATGGAATGTATGAATTATGGATCTAGGGAAATTGAAAATTGTCAAAAATGAAATGGAACACATAAACATTGATACCTTAGGCATTAATTAGCTGAAATGGACTGGTACTGGCCATTTTGAATCAGATAACTACATGGTTTACTATGCCAGGAATGACAAATTGAAGAGAAATGGTGTTGCATTCACTGTCAAAAAGAACATATCCAGATTAGTCATGAGGTACAACGCTGTCTGTGATACGATAATAACGATGCACCTACAAGGAAGGGGAGTTAATACCACAATTATTCAAATTAATGCACCAACCAGTAAAGTCAGTGAGCATGAAATAGAATAATTCTGCCAACTTCTTCAATCTGAAATTGATCAAAGATGCAATCAAGATATTGCAATCAAATATGCATAAATATTGCATATTGATCATTACTGGTGATTGAAATGCAAAGGTTGGGAGCAAAGAGAAAAGATCAGTAGTTTGAAAATATGGCCTTGGTGATAGAAATGATGCTGGAGATCCCATGATAGAATTCTGCAAAATCAAAGATTTGTTCATTTCAAATACATTCTTTAGACAGCATAACAGATGATTATATACATAGATCTCACCAGATGGAATACAAAGAAATCAAATTGACTACACCTGTGGAAAGAGACAATGGAAAAGCTCTATGACATCAGGCAAAACAAGGCCAGGGGCAGATTGTAGAACAACCAATTGCTCATATGCAAATTCAAACTGAAGCTGAAGAAAATGAAAACAAGTCTACGAAGCCAAAATATGACCTTGAATATATCCCACCTGAATTTAAAGACAATCTAAAGAACAGATTTGATGCATTAAACACTAAAGACTGAAGACCAGAAGAGTTGTGGGATGACATCAAGAACATCATACAAGAAGAAAGCAAAAAGTCATTAAGACAAGAAAGAAGGAAAAG